AAAAAGTAATAACAAGTAGAAGTGAATTAAAAAATAAAGATCACAACGATAGATAACAATAAAACAAGAATAAAGCAGAAGCTTTTTCCTTTAAAAGTTGTAAAAAATACTGTTCTGTGATGGTTTCAAGCCAAGGAAGGTATGAAGAATCGATAGCTATACTATACTATATATATATATATATATATATATATAGTACACTATTGTAATTTATTCGGCACAGAAGACTTTGTAAAACCACTAAATTCCTAATAATAATACAAATTACCTCAATACAAACAATGGTAACAAACAGACGCTTACAGTGGTGCCATTACCAGGCATCTCCTTGATCCTGGTGATGCGGTGGAAAACACAAATTCCTTTAAATTTATCAGTAGACAAGAAAGCTCAATTCTCCTCAAGTTTGCTGAAGCAATCTCTATCAAACGCCTGAAACCCGGTCAGTGTGTTGTGAAAGAAGCAGTTATCAGTCTTTCTTTGCCCTGGATATTTTTGTTCTCTCTTTCGCCTGATTACGTAGTCTCAGACTTTAACCTCACTCCCCTCCAATTTGACATAGTGTACTTTTGTTTGTCTCTTGTTTCAATGATTTCAGCTGAACTCAGCACATTGTTATCCAATTTATTTGTTACTCATCGTCTTACGCATCTCTCATCTTTATTACATAACTCTTCTGCGATTGTATGCACACATGTTCTTGAACTGTCTGTGTAAAAACCATATAAGCGTAATTTTCTGAGCACTGTTCACTAAGTCCAGAACCTCCTATCAACTGACATCATGTAAAATTTTCAAAATTTTCTGTACATAAACTTAATAATTTCTGTGGACTCTAAGCAAGCAGCTGATGAGAAGCTGACGAAATACTCAGTGATGGTACCGTATTATTCTGCACAAACCACTGTTGTTCTTGCTTTATTCCAAACAATAATAATTTTACAGAATGGAATTTTCGGCGTTTTTATACATATTGCAACAATTTATCTCCTTTTATACATATGTACATACAATTTAAAATAGTAATTAAAGTGTTAATAATGAAACCACTATAAACAGAGTGTTGGTGGAAAAGTAATGAATTGTAAATAGATAATATCATAGATAATGTATATACTAATAATAATAATCTTTGCTTATACATTGCAGTTCAGACTACTGATTTGAAAAGTTTATAAGTTCTTTTCCGATATCTGACTCTCTCTCTCTCTCTTCACACAAAACCCCTTCTAAATATGATATGGTTGAATTTTTCTGTTTTGTTGTACGAGCATCAATTCTTACGAAATCTCACATGGTTTTATCCGAAGAGGTGAAAGGAGAGAGTTGCGAATAAAGAGGATGTTTGGTATCAAACAGGATAACTTTAGCCAATTGTTTGCAAGAATTGAATTGAAGTGCCTATTGACAGTGATGTCAGTTTGTTGAGTCAAAGGCACACCACTAACTCTACTCACAGAAGAGGCTGAGTTATGCCAGAAAGTCAAAACTTCTTTATGTAATGAGTCAAACGAAAAATTTTCTTAGAAATCAACAGGATATGGGACGAACAGCAGAGATTCGAAGAGAAACTAATGCCGAGATAAGAGATCTTCGATTTGCTCCGTATCACACAGCCGCCAATATTACATGAATCATGGGAGGACTGAATCAATCACGGGCAAGTCTTTTTCGCATCTGAAACTAAAATCAACATTATGAGATTTGGATGGATTCATTTTAAGACCATTTGGGTGAGACCATTTGTTAACTTCAGATAAGAATCTATTCATATAAGAACAATACAAAGCAGAAACTGGTTAGATCATCGGCATATTTAATGAAGTTATCTTTGGAAGAATATGGAAGGTCATCCAAAACGAAAAAAAAAGGAACTGAGAGATCATAGATCATTGGGGCACACCAGTTTCCGTTAGCAAAGAAGTGGAGCGCTTCACATTCAAAACGGTATGTTGTTTTCTACCCGAAAAATAAGAAGACAGCCACCTTGTGACCCAGTGTTTGCTGAAATCAGCTTGCTTAGTTAAAGTGAAGTGTATAAAGGAGGCTCGAACAAACTTTGCACCTTTATCAAAACTTGAAACAATATTTTGAAGAAATGGGCCTCAACAGTTGTCATTCCATATAGGTCAGAAACGTCAGACGGTATCAAAAGAGTACTCGATAAGCACAACATCTGAGTTTTCTTCAAAACATCAAACACACTACAAAGCAACTGTGTCCATATCAAAAATCAAATCCCTACGGATTCTCAATCTAATTGTGTCTACAATATAGAATGCTTGGAATGTGATGCAATATACCTTGGACAGATATCGTGAGAAATCAAAATCAGAAGGAATGAACACCGCAGAGCATCTGTTAGATCAGCGAGAAATCCAGGTGAACTAGAAAACCTAGAAAAATCATTAGCCATAAGTCTTCTACACGCTATAGAATCAGGTCCCAAAATTGATTCTGACAATATTGAAATAATCCAGAAAAAGCATTTCAGAAATCACAAAGAACGTCACACATCATCAGATGCACTTCATATCAAATGGAATCCAAATTGTCTGAATAGGAATGATGGACTAAAACAGAATCCGACCTGGTTACAACACACCCCTCCCCCGCCAATGAAAAAACAAAATCAACACGAATGTGATAAGCAGTTTCATTATGCAAACACACGCTGATTTATAATTTTACACACTTATCAAAGCTGGCAAAGAGGAAAGGTTGGGCATGAGGCTAGCAACCCCATCCTGTAAAAATAAAACACTGCTACAGAAACTTCAAGCCTCTGGCTTGAAGCCCTATGTTCCACTGAGGAACGTGAAGGAAAAAGAAAGAAGAAGAAGATCAAATCCAACAGTCTACACTTGGCTTTGTTATCTTTACTAAATAGTCAACTTGACAACAACGTGAAAATTACCCCATACTGATGAAGGATGATTAAGTTGTAATATATATCCTGAGATTTTGTAAATTCTGATTTAATAATACTTTGATAAATCTATAAGCAGTATTAAATAGCGAAACATCGGTAAAAACAATATGGTTTTGTTTTTCATTCATTGAGAAATACAAAAAACCTTTATTATAATGTGCATTTATTCCACTTCGTCTTTATTACTGTCAACATCATTGCACGTGGTCTTTTAATAATAATGCACTTATCTTGTGCTGCTATATATATATATATATATATATATATATATATATATATATATATATAATGACTGAGTAATGCTTAATGCCTTTTTCTGTTATATAAATACGACTGTACACCTTGTAAATGAAGCCTTTGAAAATAAAAATATTTGTCCACTGAACTAAGCTGTATGTCTCCTTGTGGCGAAGTTAAATTTTAAATACCAGTGGGGTGCTACTGCACCAATCACCTTGAAACGCTCAGTGAATAAGTTAGTGAAACCTGGTAAATAATATTGTAATCATAAATAAAATATGCTTAATGTTATGTTATTTAGATGGGATATCTGGCAAGTTTCAGGTTAGGTTTGGGAAAGATCACGTTAAGGTTTCGACTAAGGACAGGTTGGGATAAGGGTAACCTAGTGAATGCAACGCTAGGATTGGATCGAGTTAGATTAGGGTTAATTTCTCGTTAGAGCTAGGTTAGGGAAAGATTAAGGTTTCGAAGACACAGATAATTGCATGCTTAATAGAATGTAGTCAAATTACTGTGCTGATACTTCAATCCAAAACTAAGGGGGATTTTTGTCACACGTTAAATATAGGTATCTTGTGTAACAGCTTCGCTCTTTTTAATTCATTATTTGTATAAGTATATATGTATTAGAAGACGGAGATTATCTGAAAAGTTATGTGGTGCACTTGCGCTATAAATTTCGAACAATCTGATTCCTCACACATTTACTTGTCAAGTCAATATATATGAAAAAATTAAGGGCAATTAAATTAAACAAAGTGACAAAAAAAGATTTAAGAATGATTAACACAACGTTTGGTAATCCATCCAATCAAATAAGGATTACCAAGGTAGGTTAAGAGTAATAATAAACTGTTTTTGAATACACAGGTGGGGGGGGCTTAAAATTATGAATACCTATAGCCTCAGCGTATTTCAGCAGGCGCCCTTGACCATTTTTATAGATGACCTTAAGAGCTGAGTTAACATGAATCTTATGCTTCATCTCGATTAGGTGTCTAGCTATAGACGAAGTTGGTAGTCTGACACCTGCATCTATTGGTTTTCCACAATTCATTTGTTTTTCGGGATATGCTTTCCCACCCTCACATGCAAAGCGCGATTACTCCTCCTTATGTATGCGTGACCACACACACGAAAGAATTGGTAAATACTGTGGGATGTGACGTAATCACTTGTGTACTTTTGAGGTTTCCAGTGGAGCATATTTTTAGCTTTTTCGATAATAACAAGCTGGGCGCTTTGTTAAAGCTATTGGCAGCATTAATTACCGAAACATCAGTAAAAACAATATCGTTTTGTTTTTCATCCACCGAGAAATACAAAATCTTTCATAATAAAGAATACTGTGATGGGATACAATGCCAGCACAACTAAAGTAGCGGAAAGATAAGTCATAGGTATCTCCATATACGTGAATTATGTACACCTTATCTTCGACGCACCATCTGCACAGATCTCCCGCGTTGGGCCACTTCTGGCCTTCATATTGTTTTTCTTTGTGTTATTTTCACGTCTCTCATGTATCTACGCAACCCTATATTATTTGCTTTCTCTGACATTGAATGTTTCTCATTGCTATTTGATATTTTTATGTCTCTTTATGTACTACTGATAAATCTTATCAGTAGCGCTCACCACAATATAACTTCATTCTAATCAATCAGATAGCCTTTTACTTTTTGCAGTATATTTTAATGATGCTTTCATTTACAGTGAATGTACTTCAGTTAAACTACAACTCAGTTCTAACGAAAAATAAGCTTTTTACCTACTGAATTCAAAAATAAAATAATACAAATATATATATTAACTAATATTTTAGACATCTAATAAAGAATTAAACGAAGTACAAATACAACTGGAAAAAGTCCAGGAAATAGAGAAAAGTTGTGCACACTACTTTTGTGAGTGTCCAACACAGTTCAGGATTACAGAATGTTTACAGACATTTAACCAATTTTTTGAAAAGATGAAGTCTACTGAACAAGTAAGTTACTACTAACTTATATGATAAAATGTAAATATTATATATGGAAATATATATAACATAATTCTGATGTGAAAGAGTCGAATACTGTTGGTAAAGATTAAAATCCTTTTAAAATAGGAATTTTTGGTGCATGCTAACATACTAGGTAATTTGAAAATTGTCCAAACCCGCATAAACTTCATCCAACGCCCTATACGATAATGCCACATACCAAGTGATTCACAGAGGAAAGTTAACCGAAGCCTATAAAGTATGACAAGGCTGCCCACTACCATCGATAACATTCCTGATTGTGGTAGACTGGATCATACAACAGACCATAGGGAGCATGAAGACGGGGATATGTTGGACCAACGAGAAGACACTGGAAGATGCTTTACGTCTAATGTCACGCAAGTTTGAAAATCTACAGGTGAAAACCGACAAGTTGACAGAAAAAGCAGTAAAAAGAGGAATTCAAGTGAACATGGAGAAGACACAGGTGGTGCTCATACCTAGTCACTCAGAACAAGAAATAAGATCCGAATCTTCAACACTAACGTCCAATCAGTGTATCTTAATGGTTCAGAGACTTGGTGAGTCACAAAAGGCATTTCTAACAGGTTGAAAACTTTCATCAACAGCTGTTATCGCCGGCTTGATACTGAAGATGGAATAGTCGGAAAGGATAAGTAACAAAGAACTCTTAGGGGAAGAACCACTCGGAAACTTACTGTCCAACAAAATGGAAAAAGAAATGGGAATGGATTGCATACACTCTGAAGAGACTGTTGAGTGGAATAGCGTGCCAGGCCCTAGAGCGAAACTCGAATAGGAAACGATGAGTTGCGAGTAGGCCTGAAGGTGATACGGAGGGGATCGTGTGAAGGGGAGATGATAGCTTGGAGGCAGACGTGGAGCCAGCTAAAAAAGACTTCAGAGAATAGGAAATAGCAACGTGCTGCTGCTGAGGTCTCATTTGCCAAAAACTTTACCCTATCCTGAATATGATATTTTGAAGATATATTCAGACGTCAGGAGGAAGTACATATAAAAAGTGAGAAATCCATAGCTTAATGCATAATGATCTCATAATTTATTAATACACATAATCAACTGCAAAGCAAGATCCATACTGATCTGAATAACAGAGTTATAATATTTGGTTTCAATATTATTCAACTCTGGTTTTAATCTTTATAAGGTAATGTTTGACTGGCATTCTAGGGTAAGCAAGATTTTCATACGACTAATTTATCCTATCCAGCATAAACATACAAAGAACACTAGTACCTTGTCAACTGATTCAGACGTGATACATATCATTTCAATCAGTGATAAAAATATCCGAGCGCTATTCAGCGCTATTCTAAAATCTGATTCATTTCCCTATTTATTATAATCAAACGATTAAGAAATAATAAAAGCTTCTTCGTTGCATAGTTCACCTCGTTTTAACATAGACTATGAGAGAATACTAACCTAATGGGCAAAGTTCAACAATAGCGTCCCAGGAGTGCGAACGAACGAGTGACCTTCAGCTGACCAATCATAAAAATGAGGGGTGTTTGCTCAAAAAGTGATGTATATTGACAAGAAAACTCATTAAACAGGTTATCTTTCTCTGACATAGCTTAAGAATATGTCCTAGTTATAAAGAGGAGTATCAGTTGCTAAGTTAGACTAGTTTCTGTACATGTATTCACCGAGATGACTACGGATAAACTGTTTTTGTGAATCGTTTATCTCTCTCATCCTGCTTGCAGTCATCCAAAAAAGCCCTCGGTTGAACTGTTATGGTTTCCAGCAAGAGAATAGACGACTACTTCCCATGGAAAATGGGGATAATAAAACAAATTACAATAAATGACAGCAACTATAAATCTATCCCTAATCGTAACCATAAGCTTAATCCTGACCCTTATTCAAACCGTAATTCCAACCCTAATGCTAATTATAACCCTGATCCTAACCCTAACCCCAATACTTACCTTAGCCTTAATCCTAACCCTAACGAGCTATTAACACATTGTCCAAACAGTACTTAAAAACGTGATCTGGGTGAAATTCGCTCCTAAGTTGGTGAATAGCGTTGATATTTCAGCCATGATAATGACAGATGCCGTTAGCCAACAAATAGTATGCGTTAAGGTCACTGGAGCGTTCACACTCCTGGGACGCTATTGTTGAACTTCGCCGACAAAAGAAAGGACTGGACGTCAACAAGAGAGCTTTTACTGTCTCAAACAACAGTCAAAATGCTAGACAGAAACTCTGCATATATACAGTTTCAATGACCTTGAAAATGCAGTATTTCATTGGTGTATTAAAAGTATTAACAGCCAATAGGAATCCAGTAATCCAAACAGAGGGAAAAACAAACGGCTCATACCAGCGCGCGATAACTCCTTAAAATAGTTATTTTAAGGTTTTATGCAAAACTAGTTGTATATAACATTCACCTACAAACTGAACATAAGCTTCGTTGTAATTAACACGTCTTCAATTGGTAAACTGATACTTATCATTGTAAACGCTGAAATAATTAAAGGCCTAATTGATTTAACTTAATTTCTACCTTCTTATCCTTCAAAGGCGGAGAATGAGTTTATCATTAAACAGTTTATTTAAATTTTCAAATTAAATGTTGATCATTGTGGTGATGTTTATTTTATCTATTTCTAGGAAATAAGTGAATACGAGTCATTGCATAAAGAAAGAACAGATAAGGTGAACAAAGTTGATGCATCACTTACAGGAAGTAAGATGATATTATGTTAAGAATTAATAATAATGATTATAATATTTTTACTCGAATAATAGCTAACCGCTCTTTTTTTAGAACATAATAGAGAAACAGCCAAATTAAACTTTAAGCACCACTGACTACCAATGGAGTTCGACCGCACCAATGACCTTGAAACGCTCACTGGCAAATAATGCTGTCATCATCAATAAAATATGCTCATCGAAGTATTATACTATTAAATGGGATTTCTGGCTAGTTTCAGCTCAGGTTTAGGAAAGATTAAGTTACGCTTTTAGCCAAGGACAAGTTAGGGTTAGATTAACCTACTTGAGGCGACATTAGGGTTGGTTCGAGTTAGATTGCAGTTAGTTTAGGGATATTTTCACGTTAGGGTTAGGTTCAGCAAAGATCAGGGTTATTGCTAGGGTTGGAAGACCTAAATAATTATTATTATATTATATTATTGTATCCTTTAATTCCTACAGGAACATAGGGGTTCAGCCGTGCGTCTCCATTGCGTTCGGTTCTCTGCTAGAGTCTTCACCTGGCTCCAAGTCTGCCCACACGTTTTCATCTCCTCTTCACATGACCTCCTCCATGTCACTTCACCCTCGCACTGACGACCAACTCGCCGCTTCCCTTTAGGGTTCCACTCAAAGGTTTGCCTAGTGATGTCACTTGATGGTTTCCTGAGAGTATGGCCAATCCATCTCCAATTCTTCCTGCATATTTGTTTCACAATCGGTTCCTAGTTGGTTCGTTCCCAGAGATCTCTGTTGCTGATCTTTTCTGACAGGCCATCTGATCTTGAGTATTGAGCGAAGACAACTGTTAATGAAGGTCTGTAGTTTGTTTGAGATGCTCTTTATGACGCGCCAGTTCTCTGATCCGTATAGTGAGTAGCACTGACTTCACATTGGAGTTGAAAATCCGGATCTTATTTTTGATGCTGAGAGAGCTGTTGACCTCCACACAGACTTGAGGGTAGTGAAAGCTTGTCTTGCTTTTCCGATCCTTGCTTTGATATCGTCGTCAGTTCCGCCTGTAGTTGAAACGATGCTTCCCAGGTAGGTAGGTAAAGGAGGTTGTTTCTTTCAGGTTCCTCCCATTTATGCTGATTGTTGTCAGTTGTTGTTGTTGCATACATAGAATGGGATTAAATTACTCTGTTGATATAAGAATATGTCGAATCACGGTGGGTGCGTACTGATGAAGAGTCCCAAACTAGGTCGGAAGAAACAGCTGTCCAGTACTCCCAGGTTTTCCAGTGGTTCTCTAACTGATGTCAGCTCATGATGAAATCCTCCATGAAATCAAACAAAATCCCAACAAAACCAATACTTGAAAATTAATCTGATGCTCACTAGTGACTGGCCCTATCCAGGCAGTTAACCTGGGGTTCTAATGGGAAGCCGTGACCAGTAGGGTACAGGAGGTTGGAGATGAGGCAGTAACTCATCGAAGAAGACATTGCGAAATGGTCGCGCTATGTCGTGAATTGGCAGAAGTTAGAATTCAAGGACCATTGGATCGGGTCCCAGTGGCTCAATGGTCTACGAGCTCGCCTTGTAACCAGAAGGTCCTGGGTTTGAACCCCGGTGGATGCGTACCGATGAAGAGTCCCAAACTAGGACGAAACAGCTGTCCAGTACTCCCAGCTGGTTTTCCAATGGTTCTCTAACTGATGTCAGCTCATGATGAAATCCTCCACGCAATAAGAATAGCAGTTGTGCACTGTGGTAGAGTGTAATTCCATTGTGGGTAAAATCTATTTTGATAAATTCTCACAATATTATACAGTTAGATTTATTGATGACGTTTCGAGCATAGTTTATTGCCCAGTAAATATTACTGTATTACACTATGAAACTTTATCAAAATTAATTTTACCCACAATGGGATTATACTCTGTTGATACTCTAACCTAAAACTGAGAGCTATTTTTTCAAATGTGAGAGCAAGGTATCCTCTGTAACACTTTTTTACAGTTTTTATGCATTATTTCATAAATATACGTATTTCATACACAAAATGCCTCCTTCACGTGATTGGTGCCTTCAAGGTCATTCGCTGATTGGTAGTTAGTGGTGCTTAAAGTTTAACTTTGCCAGAGAAACTTAATATTGCTTCTCTTAAGCACTGAAATGATTGTTCTTAAAATATTTTATAAAATTTTAATGATTCATACTTAATTCTTACTCACCTTAAATAGTTTAGTCTAAAGTAGAGCATTTCACATAAATATGCTCAGTGCACGTGATAGAATCTTAACGTGATCTAGGTATTTAATTCAGTCCAGAGTGGTGATTACCATGGTGAGGATTACCGTCAGTGAGATCATAACCTGGTAAGCAATTGGACCTCATAACTCAACCGGTAGAGCACCAGGTTAGTAAGTCAGAGGCTACTGCTGCGACCTAAATTCTCGCTTAATTTCCTATAATTTAAAACTTGCATAAAGTTATTGTAAAACAAGTGTTCAGCATTCATTGTTCCAATCCACTCGTCAACCTATATTGTACTTCATAATACTTTAATCTAACCTTGTATATAAATAAAAGTCATTGTGTTGTACCTAAACGCCGAGCTACTTTCAGAAATGTATGACATATTAAGATGGATAGCGAAACGGACGCATTCTTGACTTACTTCTTCTCAATATGTTTTGTTTTCTCTCCTTCCTAGTGTTCCAAGTGGAACAAAGAACTTCAAGGGTTTTTTTTAGAACTTCCAGAAGCGGTGATGTTGTTTTTAAGGCTGGGGTTGCTAGCCGCTCAGAAAACCTCCTCCCCTTCCTGTGCTTACCATCAGCTAGTATACTGGGTAAAATCTAGGAGTCCCTCAGCCGGAAACAGAATCCCAGACCACATGGCGAACATTCTCACCACTAAAGCACATCCCTAGTTATATGGAATATAGAATTGTTGATGAACTAAAAATTATTCAATTATTTCACTTTAACTGTTCATAATCAATACGATAATTCAAAAACCGATTCATTACAGTTCGCTGTTATTCACATTTTAGACTCTAAAAGTGATGAAAGACACAATCGTACATTGGATAATAATATCAAACAGCCAAATCAAGATGCGCATAACATGATGATTGAATTAATTTCAAATAATCTGTCACATCCAAGAATAGTTCACAGTCAATCAAGAAGTCGATTCAGAAGCAATAAATTGAGTTTATCAACATCAACAAATTCATTGTCTAAACTTTTATCAGAAGACAATAATACAACATTGAATCAAGGAAGAAGTTATACAAGTCAATTGAATATTGCATCAAAATCTGTTAACATTCCAAACGGTTCATCTCTATTCGAAGTAAGTATATGATGTATTCGAATAACAAAACATCTGATGAAATGGGATTCTATATGAAATTAATAGAGTTAAGAGGTGAGAAATGGGATTCGCTATGGAATGCTGACGTGAATGCAGCTAATCTGAACTTATAATCAAGTTGTTAGCAGTTACATTTCTAAGTTATAGCTATACTTACAATTTTCCCGAGTGTTACACCATCCAGAAGACTAATAATATGGAAAATGACATGAAATCTTTTGTAAAGCACAGAGAAGTCAATAACTAACTATACGCTACATTTAACTACTTAAAAACATACTTAGTATGATAACTAGTAGTGGTATAACGACAGCAGAAGACAAAGGCCTGGCAACAGATCGTTTATTGAGAAAATCAACAGATATTTATAAAATTTTATGTACATTGCTATTCGTTATTGTTAGCAGAGAAGCAACGTCTTCCTGTTGAGGATTATTCTGTCATCTCTTTGTTGCCGTTTCTTGGAAAGTCCGTTGATATATCTGCGAATCGTATCCTCCCACTCTAAGTCTGCTGTGATTGGTTGTTGAGCTCCTCAAGGTTAAACTTTGATCTTGGTTTTTCTCATGACCCCGATTCGGGATGTAAACATTGACGTAGATTGTTGCTTACAATTTTGGCTTGCAGACAGCTTTCACCACAGTGGAATCCAGGATGCGCCTTTCGTCCTATTTTGGGACTGGTCAGCTGGGTGTACTTGCAAACTTCCATGAGTGGTGGTATTTCCACCCTTCGTTTTAAACGCCAAAGCGTGAGCCACCTCCTTTACAACAGGCCTCAGTTATCATTCGTTTTAAACCAAATTACTCTATGTTAACACTCAGACACACATCGTCAAAGCGCCCGTACTGGGAGACATGTCAACAGATGCCGGACACTTGAGCCCAATCAATCAACCAGAAAATCAAAAATTGACTACAAGACATATCTGCCTCATCATAAATTACTACGGTATTTGCACCCGCTTGCACCATGTTTATTAAAGGCCCATGTATTATTTCTGTGTCATTATAATTATTATTGTTCCCTTGGGTTCCTAGTGGAACATACGGCTTCAACTACACGTCTCCACTTGCTTCTGTCTTCTGCTGTACTTTTCACTTGCATCCATGTTAATCCATACTGTTCCAACTCCTCTTCACACGATATCCTCCATGTCACCCTTGCACTGACGTCCCACTCGCCACTTCCCTTTCGGGTTCCACTCGAGCTATGGCCTGACGCGCGATTTCACCCAACGGCCTCCTCAACGAGTGTCCAATCCATTTCCACTTTCTCTTGCAAATTTGTTGAGCGATTGGTTCTTGTTTTGTTTCTTCCCATAGTTTCTTGTTGGTGATTCTTTCCGGCCATCTGATCTTCAGTATAAAGCGAAGACAGTTGTTGATAGAGGTCTGCAACAGGCTGTTGGAAATATTCTTTGTGACCCGCCAAGTTTCTGATCCGTATAGAAGAACTAACTTGACGTTTGTATTGAAAATCTGAATTTTATTTCTGTAGATAACTATTTTCTCCAAGTGACCCAATAACTTCAATAATCCAAGCAAACTTCAAGAAAGCATAGTCTTTCTTAAGAGAAATTCATCTACAAGTACAGTAGAATTCACCATTACACCTCAAAAAATAATCAGAATTATTTAATTTCTGAGGGGAAATAACAAGGAATCTAATTCCACTCTATAAAGACATAAAAACAACTATCAACACTGTATATCAACCATCAGAGATACAGCAGGTGACTGGAATACACCTTCTGTTTTATTCGCTGAAGTGGCTTCAATCAAAGGTTGATACTGAAGTATGTTACTTTTGAATGATTCGGATTTTGAGGAACCACTATAAGGGGAAGCAAATTTCCTTTTCATAGTACGATTTTCTGTTATACACCGGATTTTATTTTGAAAAAATAAATTAGAAAATGCATTTAGAAGAAGCTGAACATATCTAAAAAGGATATACGCAATTCTAAATAAGTTTTGAAGATTTTGTAACATGAAACAAAGACCTATTTGACAAAAGGATAAAAGTAATTGACGTAGTGTATTAAATACTTTCTCCACTGACGAAACAGTTTACTTAATTCCATTTTCTGGGAAAATTTGCGAGTCGACACAAATTTCTTGATGCTCCACAAAGGTGGATTCACAGGAAATGTGCATTAAGCGCTCTTACAAATGTGTTTACTCATTTAGGAAGTTTTTTGTTTTACTATAGCTTAATTCCACACCGTATTTTCGGTACAAGTATGGAATTTTCAGCATGTGATATCGGTAGCCCAAATTTTGCAGGCCGACCATAGATATCAGGTGTGCGTCGGCAGGGGATCGAACCCCGGACTATGTTCATGGTAGGCGAGAGTCCTAACCACTGTGCTACCGACGCATATATACCGAAACATATATAGTAACTCACATTCTAACTTTGGAGGTTTGTCAGAACTCACTACTTAGGCAAACATAGATATGTAAGAAAACAACGCAGCAAAAAAGGCATCTTTTTCTATACATACAATTGAAATGATTTTAAGGTGATTAGTATACATGAGATAGGGAAAAAGTTAACCGGAAAAAGATGTGCGGTTTCCTACATTATACCTGAAACCACATCATCCACTGTAGGACACCTAAAGACATGGCCTTATTACTCATGTAGATTTTTTAAATGTTTTGTATATCTGATGCTTTACTTGATGAATCCCAGCAAGTAATGTGTAGCAGAAATTATATTTGTGACCACTACCTTTATTCCCTGCATTTAATGATTTTTTAAAAAGTAAATCCATATATGCATTTTCCCTGTTAAGGTATTTAGTTCCTGCAACTGAATTGGTACTAAAGTTCAGTTTTCTTCTTCTGACGTCAACTAAGTTATTTCCACAAAACTATTTGATAAATCATGCTGCTTATTCTTTATATCTAAAATAACTCCAGTGGTCAAGTTTCTATAGTTTACAATAGAGTAGGTAATTTATCGTGCGTCGGTGGCACAGTGATAGAATACTAGCCGACCACGATTCACTTGGTCCGGTGTTCGATCCCCGGCCACCGACACACTCCTTTACCTCAGTAATGCAGTAGTAGGACTGGTAAAGAGGGAAGGTTGGGCATGAGGCTAGCAACCCCGTCCTGTAAAAATCAGGCCTCTAGCTTGAAGTCGCCCTATTTTCCACTGGGAACGTAAACGAATAAAAAAAGGTCGAATAATTCCGAACAGATTATTAACACTGACGCAGGGTGGCTAGAAACAACCTAAAGGCCTTCCTGTCAACTGCACCATAGACTACCATTTCGGGCCACATCACCAATAGTCTCGAAACACTAATTCTTCCCACCCAAAACTCAGTAGTTACTCTTAACAATGTGGCTCAAATCAGCAGTCAAAGAATTCATGGATTAGAGTCATACTTTTTTCGGATCATCCCAATCACTTTTTCACCTCAGTCTTAGATCAGTTAACACTGTGCTTGTCAAAGAAGGCAGTCGCTTAGCATGCCCCGCCCTCCAGAGATATCAATCGAAGGAGCTTCACAATCTTCTCATAGACTGAATTTCATTCCACAGGGATCATCGAGCTTAACATGATTACTACCAAGCCATATTAGGCTGATATGACTCGAGACATAATCTGCAAATAAGTAAGGCCATTTCATTGTGTATCATAATATATAAAATAAAACCATTCCATTATGGAAATATAATCAAAAAGACGGTTGCAGCGAAGAAAATTTTCTTTTCGACGAAATCATCAACTAGGCTGTACATTCGTGTATTTATTTATGATAATTGGGTGGGAAAGTTCCAGAATAATTTCCGGTCAAGGGTTAAATTAATAAAATTACAATTAGGAATTAAAATGCCATCATAAAGAGGGGGACGGATAAAACTCAAACAAAGTGCATCATAATTACTGAGAAGATTGAGATGTTGTGCAATCAGGGGTAAGAAATGTAAAACTAACAAAAACAGAGAGGATGTTTGGATAAAAAAAATAAAGTGGGATCATAAATAATGTGAAGAATAATTGTTTATGCAATCAGCGATTAAATATGTAGAAATAATAAAATGGCAAAACAGACAGGAAGTTCAGATATGGAAATATGGTAGTGTAAATAGGGATTAAAAAAACTTTAAAATAACATGAATAAACAGAAGTTTGTGTAAGAAAGGCAATGGGATAGTCACCGTTGAAAGAATTACCTGTTCATGATGGCCATAGCAGGGACAAAGGTTGGACGTATTTCTTTTGTATACATAGCGCGGCAATACCCAGATGCGTCGGTGGCACAGCGGTTAGGACTCTCACCGACCATTCGCATGGTACGAGGTTTGATCCCCCGCCGACGCACACCTGATATCTATGGTTGGCCTGCTAAATTTGGGCTACCGATATCATACTTGTACCAGAATACTATGTGAAATCAAGCTAATATATGTGTAAAACTTGGGCACTGTGGTAGTAAGTAATTCCATATTAGTTTGTTTATTAGGTATATCACACAGTGAAACAGTATTATTTACTGGATGACGTTTCGAACAAAATTTATTGTTCATAATCATATCAATTGTGAGCACACGACTTTGACACTTGAGTTTTATGGCTTTCTTTGTTTTCTCCAATTTGTCGTATGGGTAGTAGAATTTTCCAGATATCGGGGACAGGTGATGAATCATTCCTATTACATGTATTTGTAGTTGATTCGATAAACAAAGCTTCTGTTATCAATCTCTCCCTATACCCTGTGACATTAGATTTTAAAACTGTCATCCTATCCCATCATTCTACTGTATGGTTGTGTGTGACTGCATGTAGTGCTATAGCTGAACTATTCTCTAGATTTCTTATTTTATTCGGGTCAACCAATCTAGATTTTGCTAAGTTTTTATGTTCAGCTAGTCTGACTGCCCCTGTTCTACTACTTTGGCCTATGTATTTGACCTGACAACCATTGCAGGCAGAGTATCAGATAAACTAAATTGTTTTGTTTTAAAGGCTCCACAGGATCCTCTAACCGCCAAAGCATATTTCTAATTGAGTTTGTGGGTTTGAATGCCGTTTTTATTCCTGCCTTGTTGAGAATTCTGCGTAAGGCTTCCGAGGTTCCTTCCTTGTATGGAATTACTAGTGATGATTTAGATTCCTTATTATTGGTGTCGTCATCAATATTATTGTTATTATCACTATCGCTAATATCATTATTTATTTTATTTTTACATTTCCTTACATATTTGCTGACTAATTTATCCGGGTAATTATTAAGTTTCAAGGCTTCTTTTATGTGTATCAGTTCCTGTTTTAGATTTTCTTTGGTACTACTTAATTTTTGTGCTCTGTCATTTAAACATTTCACCAATCCTATTTTCACTGACATAGGATGGGATGATCGGAAGTCCAAATATCTGTTTGAATGTGTGGGTTTCCTGTAAAGACTAATGTTTAACTTCCCCATCTTCTTTCCTCTTTACGTTGCAATCTAACATTGGGAGCTCCCCTTCCTGATTTTCCAATTCATAAGTCAATTGAATTGCTTCAACCTTCGAGTTGATATGTTCTAAAAACCTATCTATATCTTGTGTTCTAAGTACAGTGAATGTGTCGTCTACGTACCTCCACCATGCTTTTGGGGTGGGGGTGAACGTTTCAATCGCTATGCTTTCCCACTTATTCATGAATATATCTGCTACAACTGGGGATATTGGTGATCCCATGGCAACTCCCTCAGTTTGTTTGTATATTTTCCCTTGGAATTTAAATACTGTGGAAGTCAGGCATAGCTGTACTCCCAGCATTATGTCCTCAAGTGGCACTTTTGTCCTAAGTTCGAGTTCTTGGTCAGAAATGAGTTCGTTTCTGACTGCCTCCATAGCCATATTTATTGGTATACGTGTGTATAAACTGACAATGTCAAAACTAACCATTTTTTCTTCATTATCTAATCTATGTTTTAGTTCATAAGAATTAGTTAGTCTAGATTTCGAGTGGATTTTTAGGGGGTTTAATACCATGGCTAAATATTTCGATAATTCATAAGTAGGTGAATTTCTAAAATAAACTATAGGCCTAATAGGGTATCCTGACTTATGAACTTCAACAACACCATACATCCTACTGGGGTTATTAGTTTTGGGCATTAAATTAAACCACTTAGACTCACCTAGAAACGGCTTCATTCGGCGTATAAGATCCGCTGTGGATTTCTTAACTTTATTCATAACTGTATCAATTGGTTTATTAATTTCCTCAAGCTATAATAAAATTTAAAAATTAAAAATTTCACTGCCTTTGATAGGTTTGATCGAATCTTGTATATTATTTTGAAGGATTTCTCGAATGCCACTGAATGTCCTAAATTGACCAGATGTCCTACCACTGAGCAATATACACGTTTTCGTTATCCTTTAACTAGCCAGCCTGGATAGTGTTCATGAGCGCGTTTTTCAAGTTGGCGCATGGTACTGCCGATGTACTCAGCTCCACAAGAGCAAGTAAACTGGTATATGCACGTTGAAGTGGCCCAATGCAACAGATTGTCTTTCGCCTTCTGGCTGAACATTTTCTTGCAGGAAAACGTCAGTCGTAGGCTCGCGGCGAAGTATGTTTTCCTCAGAGATTTGCAGAGGCGCTTATGAAGGATTTCTGCTTCAATATCACCTTTGAATTCTAGATTAAGCAGAAGTATCTTCTTCGGAACCAAAGTATCACGGAAACGTTGTAGAAGTGAAGTAATCGATATATGTAAACTTTCTGATTGATATTTGAAATTCCCTGAACAGAATCAGATCATCAGAAACAACAACGAGACAATATGAAAAACAGCTTAAGTCCTACAACAATTAGTATGTAAAAGCACAATTCAGTAATGATACCTAATTTAAACACACGATAATAAATGATACAGAAACCCTAAATAATAATAATTTGCTTTATTCCAAAACAGTACTTGTGATACAGAATGGAATTCTCAGCATTTTTACTACAGTATTGCATCCAGTTAGAACATTATCAATAAATAGAATTCTATATAGATTAAGGAAATCTCAGTTCATTATGACAACACCATTTGGCATGTCAGTAGAAAAGCCAAAGTTGGATAATGTTTAAAGGTGTTAGAAAAGTAGGTGCTATCATATTTACTGGCGTAAGGGGAAGAAAGAAACAAAGCAGCACATAACAGAAAAAAAGAATAAAAAGAGAAAGAAACGAAAGAAAACGTTGTACCTATAAATGATATGAGTTAGAAAGACGAGGTCCAGTTGTTCTACTGACTATATAATAAGTTATAGGTGTCACACCTAATGCTTTCTTTATCGCACAGAACACGAGCTAAGTAGGGTATGGTTGAGTTTTTAAACTTGCTAGTGTGAGCATATAGTTTTCTATATTGGCTTCTGGTTTTGCCCGATGAGATGCAAATGGAGAGTTGTGAATGAAGAGGGTGGTGTGAGTTAGATAAAATGGATTTGGCCCATTTTTCACATGAGTCCATGTGCCTGTCAACCAGAATATTAACAAGCTGACAACCTTTAACATCCTGCGTAATAAGGTGTAGTCTTTCTTCAGTAGCCCGGGAAAAACTAAGGGGGGACAATAGAGAATAATAGGCAGGATGCGAGAGTTAACGAATTGTAGGAGTAAGGGTTGGGTTATACCAGAATGTCTTAATTTCTTGATGTAGAAGGTAAGACGGAATATTTTCTTAGAAATCGTCAATATATATATATATATACAAAGACTAAGATTACCAGAAACTTGAAGTGTTTTCAAATGCAAATGAGTAGTGGTTCCACAAATAAATAACTTTATACTACTATATTCTTTATTTATACTAACCATTATCGTTTAATTTAATAAACTTTAAACATTTTCTTATTAGCAATATCCAGTGACAAACTCCTCAACCGTGATAAGATCACGTCAATCAGGAATTGGACAAAAACTCCGCATAAACTCTAAATTTCTAACAATGAATGATGACGACATCGAAGTAGAACGTGAACGTAGACCCTGGTCACAGATAAGAAATCAATCAATGAAAACAGTGAGAAGTGGAAAAGAAACGCTGAATCCACCAGCGAGGGATACACAAGAAGAGAATTACACCAGTGATGAAGAATCATTCTATCAACTAGATGAACGAATAAAACGATTAACATCAAAATTTAACAAGAAATATTGAAAAAAAAGAAAATGATAATATTCTTTCTATCACATATGTGGTGCAATACACTCACTCATTCTTCTTGAAAACAATTTTTATATTTGTACATTAAGAATTATAAATACCTTTACGTATGATAATGTTTTATGGTAATGTTTGTTACCTGGGGTTCTAGTGAGAAGTTGTGACCAGTAGGGTACAGCAAGTTGGGTGTGAGGACAAATACTCACCGAAGACATTGGCTAGCGGTCGCGCTATGTCGTGAATTGGCAGAAGTTACAATTCATGGGCTGGTCATTGGATCGGGTCCCAGTGGCTTAACGGTCTACGAGCTCGCTAGCCTTGTAACCAGAAGGTCCTGGGTTCGAATCCCGGTGGGTGCGTACTGATGAAGAGTCCCGAACTAGGATGAAACAGCTGTCCAGTACCACCTGCAGGTTTTCCAATGGTTTCTTAACTGATGTCAGCTCATGATGAAATCCTGTAACCAATCAAGTTACGCGGAGACTTTTACTAGGATATGCTGTAAAAACTACAGCTTAAATAATACAACTGTTTAAGGTGAAAGGCCACACACTCGAACTACGAGACACCTTGATTAGATGACATGACAGAATTCTGCTGCTATTTATTCACTAAAACACTTTTTAAGAGGATTAAAGATATTTTAACTGACAATAAGATATAACTGGTGTCATTCGACACCATAGTACAACAAACTAAAGACACCTATTTCAGTTAATAACAATAATAAGGAATTTAAGAGGAAACTACTTCCATACGATTAAGATTAAAAACTATACTACTATTCAAAAAGTATGAACATTGTTAAGGTAAATTTGACAGAGCATAAATCGGGCGAAGTTAAACTTTAAGCACCAGTAAGTACCAACGAACAAATGACCTTGAACGCACCAATCGTAAGATATAAGCTATTTTTGCGTATAAAATACATATAAACTTTGGATAGCGTTATTAGAAGACGGAGATTATCTGAAAAGTTATGTGATGTAATTGCGCTATACATTTCGAACAATCTGATTCCTCACACATTTACTTGTCAAGTCGATATATATCTGAAAAACTAAGGGTAATTAAATCAAACAAAGTGACAAAAAAAGATTTAAGAATGATTAACACAACGTTTGGTAATTCAATCAAATAAGGATTACCAAGGTAGGTTAAGAGTAACAATAAACTGTTTTTGAATACACAGGGGGTGTGGTTGCTTAAGTTTATGAATAGCTATAACCTCGGCGTATTTCAATAAGCGCCCAGCTTGTAGTTGTCGAAAAAGCCCCCCCCCCCACCCATGTGTATTCAAAAACAGTTTATTATTACTCTTAACCTACTTTGGTAATCCTTATTGGATTGGATTACTAAATGTTGTGTTGATCATCCTTAAATCCTTTTTATTTGTTTAATTTAACTTTTTCATATATATCGACTTGACAAGCAAATGTGTGAGGGATGAGATTGTTCGAAATGTATAGCGCAAATACATCACATGACTTTTCAGATTATCTCCGTCTTCTAATACATATATACTTATAAAAATAATGAATTAAAAAGCGCGAAGCTGTTACACAAGATACCTATCCTTAACGTGTGACAAAAATACCCCTTAGTTTGTGGATTGAAGTATCAACACAGTAATTTGACTACATTCTATTAAGCATGCAATTATTTGGGTATTCTAACCCTAATCTTTCCTTAACCTAACTCTAACTTAAAATTAACCCTAATCTAACTCGAACCAGCCCTAAAATTGCACTCGCTAGGTTAACCCAACCCCAACCTCTCCTTAGCCGAAACCTTAACGTAATCTTTCCCAAACCTAACCTGAAACTTGCCAGATATCCCATTTAAATAACATAACACTGCATTAAGCATATTTGATTTATGATTACAATATTATTTCACTAACTTGTTCACTGAGTGTTTCAAGGTGATTGGAGCAGTCGCACCCCACTGGTACTTGAAATTTAACTTCACCACAAGGAGACATACAGCTTAGTTCAGTGGACAAATATTTTTGTTTTCGAAGACTACACTTACAAGGTATACAGTCGTACTTATATTACAATAAAAGACATTAAGCTATATATATAGCGTCACAAGATAAAAATATTATTATTAAAAGTTCTACAGCAGACCACATGCAATGATGTTGACGGTAATAAAGACGAAGTGGAATAAATGTACATTATAATGAAGGTTGTTTGCATTTCTCAATGAATGAAAAACAAAACGAATATTGTGTTTACTGATGTTTCGCTATTTAATGCTGCCAATAGCTTTATCAAAGTATTATTAAACCAGAATTTACAAAATCCACTCAGTTTATATATAACAACTTAATTATCCTTCATCGGTATGGGGTAATTTTTACGTTGTTATCAAGTTGGCCAATTAGTAAAGATGACATAACGAAGTGTGGATTGTTGGATTTGATAAGTGTGTAACAATAATAATAATAATAATTTGCTTTATTCCAGAAACAGTACTAGTGGTACGTTGTGGAATTTTCAGCACATATCTACAATATTTGTATCTAATTTTAACAAACATTTAAAAGGAGTATTTCAAAAAATAAAATATAAAGACAACAACAACAAAAAGAACACAAAAATAATTTTTTTAAATGCGAAGAAAAAAATACCAAGAAGTAGAAAGGAGAATAAACAACATAATAAATAATATCTCAGTATTGGGTAGTGGAAGCTATGATATGATTATGCATGGTGAACAGTAAAGCTACAGACATAAAAGAAGTTATCAGATGATATTTAAGAATGTTTATCGCCAAGATGATCAGTTAATTTGGTTGAAACAACACTAAACAATCATAAAATAACATTTCAGGGTTGTTTTTTGTTGTTGTCAGGTCTAATGCAGTGTTTGTAGTGGTAGTGTGAGTAATCCTGCATAATACAAAATTTTAAGATGGTGATAATGGCGTTCACAACCAATGATTGTCAGTTAATATTGCTGAACAAAAGGAAACAAAAAAATAGCAACCACAAAAACCAATAATTACATGATGGTTAATGACAAGACAATTTTGTAATACTCATAGTGCTAATATAGTCGGAACTAGTAGATACACAAAAGAACGAATAGAGTAAAGTACAAAAAAGTAAGCCAGTGTTAATAATTTAGGTAGCTAAGTATATTTAAGAAGGTGTTCACTATAGAATACAAAATAAAAGAGAAATAAAAGAGCCTAAAATTATGTTTTTAACAACAAAGCAAGTCATAGGTTTCACGCTTAACATTGTCTCTGTCACCTAGAAGATGGGCCAAATGTGGTATCGTTGAGTTCCTGTACTTGGTTGTACGAGCATAGATTATTTTATACTGATTTCTGGTTCTACTTGATGAGATACAAGGCGAGATTTGGGGATAGAGGGGGTGTTGGGGGTCGGAGAGTATGGTTTTAGACCATTTTTCGCATGTATCCAGATGCCTTTCTACTAATGTAGTGACGAGCTGACTGAGTTCTACGCTACTAGTCCTACTAACTAACTTCAATATCCTTCTTAGGATTGTATAGTCCTTTTTCAGTAGCCCAGGAAAGACTAAAGGGGAGACGTAAAGTAGAATATGTAAGATCCAAGAGCAGCATGTGATTACATAATGAAATTGCTTATCGCATTCGTGTTGATATTGTCATTTCATTGGCGGGGGAGGGGAGGTCAAATTTTGTTTTAATCCATCATATCTATTCAGACAATTTGGATTTCATTTGTTATGATTTGCCTATGATGATGTGAGACGTTCCTTGTGATTTCTGAATATATGCAGCCGACAAAAAAGGAACATAACTATAACCAAGGTGAAGAAAAGGGTCTAACATGACGTTTCTGAATATATAGTTTAGGTTTTTATTCAGATATGTAGCTAGTCTCCTTCAGCTTTAGATAAATAGCGGAAACGTCCAATTTTCAAGTGGCTAAATTTAGTCTTTTAGATAACACTGAAGCGTTAAACCGCATGAGAGTGATTAACCTGAATCAAGCAGAGGCTCAGAGATGAAAGACGTCATCCTATGTTTGCCTTTTATCAATAAAACCACGTAGTGTCCAGCTATGTATTTCAGGTGAACACACTTATAACCTTCAGTGTATTCAGCTCTCCTTGCTTAAAAATCATTAGTTATTAATATACAACATATTATATATATATATATATATATATATATATATATATATATATATATATATATTAGCTATGTTATTACATATTAACTGGGCTATTTAATGTTTGATAGATAGTTCGCGAAAACAACAATGGGATGTCTGTGACAAGTTTCTTCTTCATTGACTCTATTCTCACGTTTCTTCCAAAGCTATTAAAAATCAATACATATTCGTATCTTGTTAAACGCAAATTTACTCATTGAGAAAACATTCTCACTCAATTCCGAGATATCTGTCTGTCTGGATTCAACATAGAACTTGGCACCGAAGTGCACCAGTTCCAATTGCCACGTTCCAAAGAGCACACAAAAGTAGACAAGAAAATGAGTGAAGAGAATCCATAGAGTTTTGACAAGTATAAGAGAGAAACAGAGTGAGTAATGGTAGAAACGAATATGAAAGATTACAGAGACTGAATACATCTGCGTAAGCCACTGACAACGATTTTGAGCCATGTCACCTATTGTCTCCAGCCATTGATTCTTACAGTCCCGAGGGCCCCAACCCGGAAGTCTGCATCTCCCTCCCTACCTCACTCAGTTTAACTGTCAAGGATTTCATGGATTGATGCCATGTTTTTGTTTGCCCACCACTTACTCTTTTCCAACCCGCACCTATATCAGCTAGTAATGTCCGTCAGGGGAGGCGATGGTTAGGCATGCGCAGCACGTGACCTAGCCGTCTCAATCTATGTAACTTTATAGCCTCGTCGATTGACTTTCCCTCTTTGCCCAACACTCTACGCCTAAAGTCAACATTACTTGCCTTATTATGCCACCTAACGTGAGAAAGAGATCGTAGACATCTATGATCAAAAACGGTCAACCTTTTCATGTCTTCAACTCGTATTGGCCATGTTTCAGAGCC